CAGGTGACAAGGCTACTTTCACTTTGAAAAGACGTGCTAGCTAGCTGAGAGGAGTTTCGTCAAAGCTGACTAAAAGTGATCAAGGATGGACAATTTCGACTAACTTGATAAACCTGTGATATCTTCTTCAGGGCGAAAAAAGAAAATAAATTCTGAAACGTTTTCACGGAACCTTGCAAAAGCAGCGCGTTACAATGGTGAGGGAAAAGCTCCGTGTATTGCGTCCATACAGTTTATGATCACAACAACAACAACAACAACAACATTTGTCAGGCATCTAATGTTACATTGTCATCTGAGCAAAGATTAAACGAGGGTGCGTCCGAAATCGCGTACTGCTTAGTAGGTACTACATTTGAATTTGAACGTACTACTCGACCGTTAAAAAAGTACGTTCTATATAACGTGATTTCTGAAAATAAAAATAAAATAAAAATGGAGTTATCGGATTTTGCAAATGAACTCTTCACTTGTAACTAGTGATGGGAAGTCCGGTTCTTTCGGACAGTTCGTTTCAATGAACCGGTTCATCGGTTCTTTTACGCCCTAACGTAAGGACGTCATTCGCGATTACGTAATGATAGCAAGTCTATTGTCCCGTGCCGGGATGAAAATACACATTCATATATATAAAGTCAGTAATCATAACTTCAGTCAGTTAAAACATCATAATCATGATCTGAAAAGTTTACAATTAAGTTTTGCAACTAAGCACCCAAATACAGTAGGCTAACAGGCAGTGATGTGCATACGAGGATTTAAGTCTTGAAGATATAAAGTAAATAAATTAGTTGTCATCAGCACAGAAACCATAATCCACTTACTATACATAATCCATTGCGATTTATTTGTTAAATAAATTTACGTTTCGCCAGATTGTCCTTCATTCAAGTCTTCGGTTTACCCGCGCTCATAACATTAACACAGAATCAGTTGTCCAAAAGAACCAGTTCGGTTCAGACGTGCTGTGTCAGTCATAGTAGGCAATCTGTTCGGTAGCTTCACGCTGAATCACGCATGCGCAGTATCATCAGCTCATCGGTTCTCAAATCGGACGTGTCCGAAAGAAACTGTTCTCGGTTCAGTGTGCTGGTGATCCGAAAACCGATGCAACCGGTTCTTGACTGATATCATCAGCTGCTCTACTCGTGTTCATGTTCTATTTACTACAAACTCAATTTGCGAATGTGTCATCGTTAACTATAATTACAGTACAGGTATTTCATAAATCATCCCTTATTCCTATTAAACATAGAGTCTTAATTATGGTCCAACTTCCCTGACAACCCCCTTTGGCCTATAACCTAACAGAATCTTCAACTGAACAAAGTACACAGATTAGATACATTCATCTTTTTAAAAAAAAGTTAAATAAAATATATTTATATTATCACACTTTCTGATGTTTAACAAAATACTTGGATAACATGCTTTTCGTGAAAAAAAACTCTAGAAAAATTACACGCATGCGCAGTATCATCAGCTCATCGGTTCTCAAATCGGACGTGTCCGAAAGAAACGGTTCTCGGTTCAGTGTACTGGTGATCCGAAAACCGATGTAACCGGTTCTTGACTCGAGAACGAGAACTGCTCCAGCAGTGGGTGTGTACGTTCGTTATCGGGCTCGCTGCACACATGCTGCTCTGCTCGTGTTCATCTTCAGTTCTCTCTTCACAGCAGTTCAGTCAGTGTACTGTTTGAGTAAATGAATTACTCTGGGATATTGGTTTATTTCGACTCAGATGGAGTGTCAGCCACGTTAAAAAAGTGAATAACTTAAGTCATTTGTGGATTAATGCTTACTGGAGACACGAACCGTTTCAAACGAATCAGTCCAATTTGGTGCACTGGTTCAACCGGTTCACTAAGAAGAACCGGTTAAATCCTACGATTCGTTCGCGAACCCGACATCACTACTTGTAACTTGACACTCTTTTGCCGTTTACTGTGCCATTTGGACTCAACATATAGGCTACGCTTCCTGCTTTTTGTAATCTTATGTAGGTTGTTCGTTAACGAATAAGTTACCTGACTTTGGATGTAGCGACTACACCCGACTACATATTAGGCCAACCCCATAAGCTTATAAAAAGTATTGTAAAGACAGTTGTTGTGACTGTTAATGCGTGACAGCCCCAGATGACTGTTTATTATGCATGTGATTTAGTTTTTACACATTGTGATTAAACCATTAATCTTGAACAGCTCTCTAGTAGAAATGCAGAAGTAATGGCACTAGCTCCATGCTGTGAGTTATTTTTGTAAGCAGTGGACAGCACCCTGAGGGAAGCAATGACTGATTGTTTTGTCCAGATAACAGATAGGGCCAACTGCATGTTAAAAAAGTTGAGTGATAGTAGTGAGAATACAAGAACATTGTCCTCATTTAAACTTCATTCTACACTACTGACTGCTAATGGAGAACTTTTGGGCACAAAGACAAGGATTGGACTAAATTTAGAACTGACTCCCTTTCAGTTACATTTGAATTGAGTAGGCCATTCACACGGATTGTTCGGAACTTGAAGGCTGCAATAAAAAGTTTTTTTATGTTAAATATGATTATGATTGAAATATACTTTTTATTATTTTATATTTACATTATATATAGGCCTATATATATATATAGAGAGAGAGAGAGAGAGAGAGAGATTATATATATAGATTTATATCAGATTTTAATTCTGCATCCTTGAATTTACAATTCTGCATCCTCAGTTCAAATTCATGGTATAGGATTGGAACAGACATTCTCAAGACAATTCTGACTGAGGCACACACACACAGACAGACAGACAAGCCTACCGTCATACTAAAATCGTTTTGTGTGCCTCTAATCTCATTTGAGAGGTGCAGGCTTGACTCATCTTCAGGATGCCATTTCCAGTAAAGCTCATGGGATCGGAACATTAACAGCTGGCTGTTGGGCTGAAACTGCTGCTACTGTGAAACGTGAGAGTCTTAACAAAAAGCGGCAGGTAGCCACATTCACATTGCTGTCTCTACATCCTGTATTCATATGGGGACCATGCATTGCAGATGTGTCTAAAAGGAATTTAAATAAGGTTACAGGAGTTTAGGCCTGCCACTGCAAAATCAATAAAGGGATGAGATGTTGCTGTATAAAACAATATATAAATATCATTCTAAATAAACAATTTCACACAAGATTGATTTCATACCCATATGTCATGGTCTATTCAGCATGCTGCTAATAACAGAAGATGGGTCACAAGCCTGAAGAATTAGCTGACTAGCTTTATCAGGAACAGAGCGACTTTACAGCCAGTAGATGAACAGCACACATCAAATCACAAAATCTCATTACCAATGTGTTTTCAAACAGGCATATGTATTATAAGAAGCTCCCAAGAGATACTCAAAGGGTTCGATGTAATGTTAGCCACAACCAAAAGTTAGCCAGAAGACTTTACTTTCAACTTTTTTTGGCAAATTCCTCATTCTTTATCGTTTTTCATTTTTTAGTTGGGCATTGCTTTAACAAGAACAGGGAGATCAAAATCAGATACATTTGCAATATTTTCTGCCTCATTTATGTTGAGATTTAATGTTCATATTCCTAAAAAAAAAAAAAAAAAGTAAAGCACATTCAATTAACAGACTACAGACCCAGACCATAATTTTTCATTCTTTGACCCCTGAAATCATATGATCGTCTGCAAACTATAGAAGTATGGAGGCTGACAGCATGCCTTAGGGTTTTGAACGGCAGGTCTTCAGTTTTTCAGCATCTCACCCGTGTTAATCTGTATCATGACAACCATCACAAGGTTTAAGTTTAGCATTCCTATCCACCTCAGTGATCACAGGCTCTGTGAGGAGTAAAATACTCTGCTGTATTCTCAATCCCTCCTCAATGTGCACACTTCAATCCTGAATCATTTATTTTTGCCTATATTTACTATATGCAGTATAAATAAATCACCGGCTACTAAATGTTATGCATTTCATGAAAGAAGGATTTAGAATAACAAAGTGAGAGACAAGAAGACCAGAGAATCAGGTAGTGTTATAACCTTGAGAACAAAGAGGTCACACACCTTTAGTTGGGGAAGTGGGGATGATTGGTGTAGTGGATGGGGTCCAACCGACACTCTGTTCATTGACTGTAGATTCAGATCCATTATAGGTGCTCTTTTCTGTGCTGCCATATAGATATTTGCCCTCTTGTGTCAGATAAATACTTTTGTAGTCCTCCGCATCCTTATCAGGTAGCAGCAGAATACGGTACTGCGGCAGGGGCCTGGAGGTGCGTGAGGATAGACGGGATAATGTTGGAGACACAGTGGCCAGGCTTGGGCATCTTGTTGAAAGTGAAGCGACAGCATCTGAAGAAGTGAAAAAAATTTTCTTCCTTCCTGATTTAATATTTGTTGGCTTAAGTACTTCACAAAGCTCCAAAGGGAAAAAGTCCATGTGCTCTATAGGTACGTGACTGTCCATAGGCAAAAACGCACCTGCGGTTGAGGTATGTGTGCTATCTTTTAGACAGTCTAAACTGGTGCAAAAACCTTGGTGAATAATGTTCTCAACTTCGAGTATCTTATCTCTCACTCTGGACGTTGCTTCCTGTTGCTCCATGCGCTTATTCCCACACTGGTACAGTTGACTCATGTCTGTTGTTTGAGACATCTCTTGAGGACTATGCGTAGTAGTCTTCATCAGGTCATGAAGATATTGCGTCTCATTTGAGTCAAGTTCAAATCCATTGTCATACTCTGAGAGCTCACTGGACAGATCTTCCTCAAAACTCCTTGAATCCTTGGCTGTGTTATTTTTCAATTCAGTCTGCATTCCAGGATCTTCATGCTCACATTGTCCCTTTTCATTTTTTAAAACTTTGTGTGAGAGTCGTTCAGTAGTTGAATTTAGTCTCAGTTTGCATGTGGGCATCCTCCTTTCCACTTTTAGTAAGCTCGTCATCCACAATTTCTTGTGTTTCTGCCCTCTGCCCTTTCTCAGGCTTTTAGGAGAAACGATGAGCTTGTTCTCCAGGTTGCTGGTGCAGCACAGATACTGTCCACTACGGAGGTCACTTTCCAAGTCTGAATTCATGTTTCCCTGTTGATTTCCCATCACAACCTTGCCTTTGCAGTCTGCACACGGATCCAACAGGTCCTCAAAAAGCACCTTATTTCTGACATAATTTGTCTTATCGAGACCCTTGTGCTCATTCATATAGGGTCCCACCTCCTTCTCGCCAGAACTAATCAAAGATTTACCCTTAAGAGCTGCCCCTCCATTCTTTACGGAGCCCGGACCGTTAATGACTGTGAGAAACTGAGTTATCTGTTTTTCTCTCCGATTAGTTTGTAAGAACAGTAGAAGAACAGTGCTGCTGCCTTGCATGACAGCCTGCTTGCTTATTAGAGTGTTCACCATTATAAGGGTCTTACTAAGAAAGAAAATATCAAAATTAGTTAACTTTATTATTTTAAATTATAACATAGCATTTGTCAAATATATTTGATATACACTACTGTTCAAGAAACTGGGGTCAGTAAGTTTTTTGGGGAAATGTTCTCATATCTGCAATTTGTTAAAATTGAAACTTTATGCTGATTTTAGTTTTGACTACAGCTGCATTAATTTAATAAGCACTTGTGTCTTGCCTTAAAGGGGTCATAGGATGCTACCAGTGGCGGGCCGTGAATTTCACACCTAGTCCTTCAGTGGTCCTACCTGAATTAATCCATCTCGCAATACCATCATTATGACATCACGGCAATAGAAACACATCAACATCAACCGTTAAATTGCAAAGTAAAATAGAAATTACAGTACTTTACACCTCAAGGAATAAGTCAAATTTTACTTTATTTAAAAAAAAAGACATTCTTGATGACGTATGCAGACTACAAAATGAGACGCAGCGAATATTATACAGAAACGCGTTTGAAAGGGATTTGAAATGAAGGCAAATTGTGTTTTTGTTTTCAGAAGAAAAAGCATAAATGGTTCTTGAAAAAGCTTACCAACTGTTTTGAAGAATCAAAAGTATAACATAAATGAGGCTACTTTCAGTTGACAGTCTATGGTATAGCCTAATGCAAAGTGTTTTTCAAAGGTTGACTGTATAAAAAAGTGATAGGCTATTAGTCACATTATTTACATTTTACAAATATTTACAAATATTATTTGCTTACTAAATAAAATGCATGAAACTCACCAAATTAGCCTACTGATTATTTGTACACAAAATCCATCTTCCTTTCTTTCCTCAAGAAGAGTTCGATCACTCTGTTGTACAGGTTATCTGTGCGTTTCAGTTCCAACAATAAGTCCTTTTCTATCGCAATGGATGCTAATGCTGAAGTCGAGACTGTCCAGTCGTATTTCTGGCATAAGTTTTAATTCGCTTTAGGGCTGAGAATGTCCGTTCGACAGAAGCAGTGGACACAGGGATAGTCACCGCCAAACATGTCAATGTGTACAGCTGCCTCATGCTCTCACACAGATTTTTCTGCTGAAGGAAATCAAGGATTTCAACGGGACTTCTGCCTTCAAAATCAGTCATGGCATACATTACAGTCAGTTCTGTTTTAAGCCGGGACAGATCGAATAGTGTTCCGTGACTCTGCGTTAAGCTGGAGAACGCTGTATGCCGGAATTTTTTCCGGTATGTTTGAAACTGCTGGGGGTCAAGGAGGGAGAGAAACATAAATTTTTCGTGGTCTTGAAATCTGTTCCGTATCTGGCAGAGAATGTTGTCCAGAACATTTCTGTGGAGTTGGTGGTAGTATCCACGAAGGTCGCCTTGTGCTGGGCCTCTCCGTGCCCTCGGAGCGCATGAGATGCGCGCAGTGGCTTCGTAGGTCTCATCAAATCGGCCCCTCTCTCGCTCAATGCTGTCACAAAACTCCTTCACCCTTGCCATACAGTTTGAACTGAAATGTGTGTTGGCAGTGTGTGTACACAACCACCCTATAATGATAAAAATCCTCATTAACATTTAAAGGGAAATGCTACAAAAATGGCTTGCTCTGAAAAGAGCTGTTTTGACAGGGTAAAAAGGTGTTTTTTACACTACCATTGAGAAATTTTAACCAAACTATGTTAGAGACTTTTCATTAAGACCCTAAAGAATCATATCAACTTGTGGAAAATGGGCATCATATGACCCCTTTAAGAAAGGCAAAAATTAAAGTAGTTGCTATTAACAGATTGCAAAATAAAGCAAGTAAAAATCGTTATAAAATCCACAACCAATGCTCTAATCTCAGTAATCTGGAATGAAAATTATACCATAATCCACTGCTGGTTTTCTGGTATTCATTCGAACTGTCCCATGTGTCTTTCCTATATTGTCCCCTCTGGCTGAGATTAACTGTTGACTCTTGTACAGTCATCATACAAGATCTGAGGTCAGTGTTACAGTATTCTGTAAAAAAATTAAAACAAGCTGGAAGGATACAGATGGGAGAAATATTTTATAAACTGGACATGAAGTCAAAAATGTTCATTGCGCATTTTTCAAGAAAATCAAAATAAATGTTTAATATTTACAAAATCTGTGTTTTTGGCGACATGATCAAGCAGGAGAAATGAATGATCATGATAGCGTGCCACGACAGGCTGTTGGCACACAATCTAGTGGAGCTGCGCTGTGTCTCTACACAGTAATGAATGTAGGAATCCAGCGACTGCAGTTCAGAGGTGGCCGCCAGATGGGGCTGTTACGACAGAATTTCATCTAGAGACTCAGTCAAACCTGTAGAACCGTGAGAATGCTGCCGTGGCATTGGTAGTCAAGCGTTCAGATAAAACTAGCATAAAATGCTATGTTATTCAGCTGAATAGGTCTCATATTTGAGATGCATGTCCTCAGAAACCTGTTTGTTAAATGTCTATTTTAAATATCTACTTTATTTCATATTATTTTTTAATGTTTTTAAGTGTTGTCTAAATATATATGTATTAGTAACCTGTTCTTGTTTATTATAATATTATATTTTGTTTATTAATATTACTGCTATTTTATATTTTATTTTACCTGTCACTGCACTGATGATGTAACAATTTTGTATGTAAAGTAGCCTAATTATGCTAATGATGTAGCCTACTTTAAAATTGAGAATTGAAATGCTTCTCATATTTGAGCTATTCCCTCAGAAACGTGATGTTCATTTATGTTTTGTTGATTGTCTAATTTATTCCATTTTATCTTTTGTTTTATTGTAAGGGTTGTCTATTCCTGTATTAGTAGCCTATTCCTGTTTTATTTGATTTTATAAGATTACAGTTATTTTATTTTTTGTTTACCTTTTACATTTGATATATTTCGGTATTAATTTATTATATATTTGTTATCAATATTATTTTTTATTACTGGTACCTTTTGTATCGCCTTTCTTTTCTTTTTTTTTCCATTTGTCCTGTCACTTTTTTATGAATGGTTTGAAAAAATGACATATAAAACGGTCATCAGTTATACGTCAAAAATTGATTTTTTTTTTAGCTATCAAAGAGCTCGAATGCTTTTATCTACAGTAGAAAAATAGCATTATTAGATTCAGTCTTTCTTCCAAGTAAAATGCAATTAGGCTAATTCTCAGTTTAATGGTGTGTATAACACTGTCCCGGTGGCTTTAATTAAGCAAAAAAGCGTTTACAGCGTCACTCCTCATATTCAACCTGTTAACCCTGCTTGTGACAGACGTTTAATATTGCAGTATGAGAGTCTTTTTACATGCTGACTTAACCCATTCATATTTTCCGTTTGATAGAAAGTGCATCATCGCAGGTGATGCAGATGCGATCGTCCTCGTGATGGAGCTCCACTGGCATTGAGAGCGGGAGCGCTCGTGTCAGAGATTGACAGCAGCGGCAGTGGGCTTGCCCGCTCTCCCCTATATGGCTGTGGATGGAGCGCTATGCTAATATCGGCAGGACAGGAGAAGCACCGCTCCGCTGCCTGCTGTCAGTGGTGGCTTTTGGAGTCTAGGCAGGCTCTTCTACAGCCATGGCCGAAGGTGGTGAAGGGGAAGATGAGGTCCAGTTCTTACGAACTGTAAGTAAAAACGCCGTTCTTTATTTTGCAAATGCAATATTGTTTTTTGGCGCATTCTTGATGATTAATTACGATAAAGGCAGTGTAATGCTGAGGCATCAAAAATGTTGGCTCGTACGCCGGATTTAAAGCAACGCTGTTGGGCTTCTCTTTGTGTTCATATTGATTTATTTGGTATCGTTACGCATATATAATAGCAAGATGTCTTATTAGCGGCTATTTAGAGTATTATTCCCTTATTTGGAACTTGAGTCAGGTGCGAGTTTGCGCTCGCGACGCACCTGTAGTCAACGCGCGTGAATGGGAATTCAATGAGCATCAGGCAGGTGCAAGGACAAATGATGTTTGCCACTTTAATTTTATCCAGTTTGTGATGTGCATGTTTGTCTAAGAAGGAATAAATATGTTTTTGTGCTTTGTTGTAATTGTCTCGAACGCAACAGGGGAGTTATCCAGTTGGCGCTCGTGCGCTGTTTTGAGCATAATTCTGCAGTATTTTTCATGCCATAAAGAAGTGCCCTGTTTTGTGTTCATAAAGTCTTCCCACATGCGATTACTATTTGATACGATCCTCTCACCTTCTTTAGGACTTCACTTTTCTATTTCTGTGGTTAGACGCAGATTGGTTACATATGCCGTGGCGCATGGCAGTTCCTACCTGTGTAAACGATATGCTAGGATATGACACCCTGGTGTGAATTACTGTCACATTGAAGCTAATTAGTTAGTTAGCTATAAAAATGTAGAGGCGGTTAGGTAGAGATGTTATGCAGACTAATTACCATATTTTAAAGGTTTTTACATACACTCATGTACACTGAGAAAGGATCCAAGCAGCATTTTCTTCTTTATTATGAATTTTTATTTTTTATTTAATTTAATAATAAAAAAAAATGGATCAAAACTATTTGGGCAAAAGAGACCTTAAATTGCAAAGATTCCAAACTTGCTGGGATAGTCACAAATCCCATCCTCAAGTCTACAAGTATTGTAGGTGTGTCCCATTTTGCCTACTGTACTTCCACACTATATTCTACGCAATAGTGCAGTATGGTGCAAATAGCATGTTCACAAGTTTGATTTAAGATGGCACTCATTTTCTAAAGACCATACACTCTACCATAGTTTAAATTGTGTATAGAGTAATGAACAGTGCACAGTACATTAT